GTTCATCCCGAGCAGTCCTCCCCGGAAGAGTTGGAAAAGGAGCGGGAGAAGGAGGCAAGGAGCCCGGGCTGGCGGCGGGGCTCCAACCAACGCGGCTGCCACCCGCCTCCCCGGGACTAGTTTAAAGGGTTCCGGCTGCGGAGACCTGAGCGGAACCCTGCAGGAGAAGCTTGAGCTGGCGCGCCGAGGAGAAGGCTGCCACCGCCGCGGGGCCGGTGCGTGCGGGATCAGAGGTGTCACCTCCACTTTGCGCGTTCCCTCGGGCGGGGATGGGAATGCTGACCCGTAGGCAGGCCCTGGCCCTGGTACCTGGCGGCCGCGCGGGCTCGGGTGTTAAAGTTCGGGGTGTCCGGCCTCGGCCACACTGCTGGGAGGAAGGGAGGAAGCACCGAAGAAGGAGGTCGGAGGTGCCAACCGGGTTCAGTTACTCTGCCCTCCACCCCCCGCCCCCACCGGTTTGTCTTGTTTTGCTTTGCGTCTTCCCGTAGCTTGAACCGCGGGCGTAGGTCGCCCCAAATCGTCTGGGTGCTAGGGGCGCTTTGGGGCCCGGGAGAGCCACGGTGGCTGCGGGCCGGGAGGCCATGATCCGGATAATCCTCTCTGCCTGTCATAAACAGTACCCGTGCGCACGCCGGCAGTGGCGGTGGCGTTCGCCGGAGATGGGGAAGGAATGGGGGGGCGGCGAGGGCGAGAGGCGGGGAGACCTGATGGGAGCCTCCTCCCAACCATGACACGCACCCCTTCTTTCTCGTTCCCTTCTTTCGAGTTGCTTTATTCCCATCCCAACCTGGTTTACCCTTTCCTCTGGTCTTCCCTCCTCCCGTTTGTGTTGCAAAACATGGCCATGCCATCTGCAAAGGTGTCGAGATGCACTTCCCCAAATAACCAGTCCGGCGCGCCAGCCCCTAGGCGCCCTCCGGCTGCGGGGCGCACACCAAGCCCAGTGCCACGGGTGCCCCGCACCAGGCCTCGCAGCCTGGGCGTAATTGCACGGAGAGGGGCCGGGCGCAGCAGTGCGGGCTCCCGGAGACACCCGTGCCCTTGTCTGGGCACTCGGGCCGGTTTCCGGTACACGCGGGGAAATCGCCTCCTGCCAGTCTCTGCGCGCTCGCCCCTGCCCCGGCCGCCAGGATTGCATTATTATTTTTATCCGGGTTGCTGTTTGCGGCGGATCCTGGTGAGCGTGGGGCTGGCTAGGCTGCTGGGGTGGGGGTGGGGGGGNTCGAAGACCTGCTAAATTCTGTCAGATAGTTTTAATATATATCTTTCATCCTTTCATTCAACAAAGTTTTTCCTTTCCTTTAACAATATACAGTACAAGCTACAAACAAGACAATTCTTTAGAGAAAAGGCCTGAAGGGAGAAGGTGGTGCTTTCTTAGACCAATGTGAAGGGGAAAGGAGATGGAATATCTATATTTAATCTCTGCCTCCAATCATAGATTTTATTTTTCGGTTCCCATAGTTGTGCATATAAGGTGTGGATACCCACCCCTCCATGTGCTGCATCAAAATTTTATATGAGCTGAAGAATATATACATGTAACAAAGGCAGTGTTTTTTTACTTTCCTTCTGACAAAATGCCAGAAGAAATGGCCAATCTCTTCCTCCGGTTTCTTACTAAGAGGATTGTTCTCTTTTTGAAATTTGGCATGGCAGGTGGAGGTAGAATCTTGAAAGGATAAAGGGCACTTATTCACAAGGAAATAATGGTAAAGTCATCAATTTCTGAAAATTGGCATGTGAGGCTGACATGCCAGGGAAACAAATTAGGTCCCCCCCAAATTAAAACTTAATATTACCTAATGTAATGAGTGTTGCCATTAGGTTAAAGTCCTTTTATAGACAACTAGGTTATCTGCCTATATTATTTAGTTGCAATTTAATAGGCAGTTAGAAGTGATAGTTTTACTACATTACTATTTCGTTTAAGATTTCTGGCTGTATATTTCCCAGTGAACAGTTATACTGGCATATCCTCAGGCAGAAGAAGTTCTTACAAAGATATTGTATATCTTTAGATACCTTCAGATATTCATATATTTTGTTTATCTTAGATGTGTTCTATTTGTTGTCCTGAGGTTCACTTTGGGATAGAAGCTAAAGTTGACAAGCAAGTAACAGGGCCTTAGAAAAACAACAGGGTAGGTGATCACTGACATGCCTAGCCACCAGAAAGCGGAGCCCTTGGACTCTACTTCCTCAGGCAGTGGACCAGCCAGGTAAACAATTCTTGCCACTTAATGACCACATGCAGCATTTGGTGTTCTTTCATTGCTTTGTGGCTTCAGCGTACCCAATGCATAGTTTTAAGCATCCTAGAACTGCATTTCAGACCGGATTGCTCAAATAGAGTCAATTTTGTAACAGTAAAGTGGTCTTAAAATAGGATTTTACTCTAGGGGGAAACAGCCTCAACCAAGTAGTCACAGTGCACTTTGAATGACTAATTTAAGCCATTACATTACAAAATAAGGGATAAATCATACTTTTCAGGACACTACTGTATGGGAGCAGTTTTAATTTTAAGAGTCAAGCACCTTCATTAATCTGAGTCTAAAATAATAGGCCCCTGATTTAAAAATCTAACATTCTTTCACACTTCATAAAACTAAAAATAAAATCGTCTCAGCAAACACTGACCTATTCCTCTCGCCAAAGTATGTATTTCAAGGAAAATTGGAACAAGAGGTCTCAAAACCGCAAAGTGCCAGCAGTTTACTGTTTGTAGCCTTAATTGGTCTTAAATGTGGGGTGGGAGAGAAGATTCTATGGCCTGTAGAGAATAAGAGATTTATTCCCCTTCTTAAATCAAAAGCAGATTCTCCCCTTCCACTGCCCCCTAACCCGCCCGCCCCGCCCCCACGGGGTTGTTTTTCCAAATTTTGGAATATATTTTACTGAAGATGACAAGTGAGGGAAGGTCAAAGTGCTGTGTCTGGTCCACAAAGTACACAGAGGGTTTAGGGCGGGTTTATTTATTTATAAGGCGTTCAGCCTCTCAGCTGTTTTTCCCTCATTGGCGTTTGGAAGCTTGCAGTGCTTTAGAAAAGAGGCAGATTTGGCAGGAATGCTTTTGTGCCCTCCTTCCTTTCGATGGGGGAGAAGGGGGCCGATTTATAATTACAGCCTTGGGTGGGGGGCGGGGGGAGCGAGAAAAAGTTTCAGCCGGCACAATGCCTTCCCCGCCCCCCTCCGCCCCCAGTCAACACTGTGCCATAAACAGCTTTGGTGCCACTCGGAGCCCTTCCCCTGTCCCCTCCCTTTCCCTCTGCAGGCTCGCTCTGGCAGGCGGAGGCACCGTTAAATTCCAGCACCTTCTCCACATACCCCCAAACTACTACACGCTATTACTACGGCTGCCCTCCCCCTTTCGCTTTGCCTCCTCCGCTACCCCAGCCTCCCGGGAGGAGCCTGGCAGCGCCCCTGGAAGACGTCTACCCGCAGAGGGATAACGGCCGCCCAGCTCCATCAAGCCTGAGGGCTTGCTGCGTCCTGCGCAGTTTCTCTGCTCCAGGCACAAACACGGCCCGAGAGCCGGCGCCTTGCAGACACACACGGATCCACGCATACAGTAGAGCTGTCTCCGTCCACATTCTTGCACACCGCCCCCTCTTCCCCCCCGAGCTCCCGGAGTCGCTGAGCGGGGCGAGTGACAGGCGCGTCCCACCAACCCGCGCTGGGGCGGGCAGGGAGGAGCGGCGCGCGGGGCCAACTGCGGCGCGTCTTCCGGCGCCCGTGGAGGAGGCTGAGGGTGGGACGCGGGGCGGAGCCCGAGTTTAGGAAGAGGAGGGGATGGCTGTCATCAATGAAGTCATATTCATAATCTAGTCCTCTCTCCCTGTTTCTGTACTCTGGGTGACTCAGAGGGAAGAGATTCAGCCAGCACACTCCTCGCGAGCAAGGTAAATATAACTTACAACTCCTTTCTCTTCTTTCCCCTCCCTCCGGCCTCCCGGCTGCAGCCGCGGCACAAACCCCTCCGGCACCGCGCCGCCTTCGCCGGGGATTATTCATTATTATCCTAATTATTATTTATTGTGCATGCACGGAGACCAAAACAAATAGGCGGGCCAACCGCCACAACAACAACAACAACAAAAAAGCCCGCCTCCTCCCCGCGGGCCTCAGGTGGAATGCTCTAACGACAGCACCCGGGCGGCGGTGGAAGAAACGGGAAAGTTTCAACCGAACCTTGCTGTTCTAATAATAACAGTAATAATTACTACTTCAAGGAGGCGGGGGCGGGGGGGGNTCGAAGACCTGCTAAATTCTGTCAGATAGTTTTAATATATATCTTTCATCCTTTCATTCAACAAAGTTTTTCCTTTCCTTTAACAATATACAGTAATCCCCACTTGCGCGTGGGGATATGTTCTGAGACTCCCAGTGGATGCCTGAAACCACAGAGAGTATTGATCCCTATTTATACTATGTTTCGTCCTATACCTACATACCTTTTCACTTACAGGAAGCAATTTATGGCTTCTCTTTGGCTTATCCAAATTGCCAGCATCACTTGTGATTTGGGGCCATTATTAAGTAAAATAAGGGTTATTTGAGCACAAGCTCTGCAATATAGCGACAGTCCACCTGATAATCTAGAAAGCTACTAACTTATGGGGAATATATACCATGTGAAAACTCTGGACAAAGGGGTGATTCTGGATGGGAAAGAGCAGGACTGCATCAGGTTGCATGGCATTACCCAGAATGGAGTGCAATTTTAAACTTATGAATTGTTTATTTCTGGAATTTCTTATTTAATATCTTGGGACCAGGGTTGACTGCGGGCAACTGAAACCATGGAAAATGAAACTGGATTTGGAGGTGGACTGCTGTACAATGTGCTAGGTATCCAGCTAATTGCTGAAGTTTCAAAGATGAATTGAACTTGCTCTACACCCTCCAGGCACCAACCATCTAGAGGAGGATAGCAAATAATTGCATCAAAGTGATAAGTGCTGTAATGGCCATACACACTGGTTGCTATGGGAGCAGAGTAGGATAAGTGGCTTCCTCTGCCTGAGGAGGGCAAGGAAGGCCACTGGAAGGATGCTGGGCCATAGCTGAGTCTTGGAGGATGTGTACTAGGGACCTGTATTTCAGTCAGAGGAATGTATGTCCAATATGGCCCCTTAGGAACCAGCTGGTAGACCAGATTTCCAGAGCTCAGGCATTTGGGGGAAAGTGCACAAGGCTGGCAGAGATCTGTCCATGCACTGCCTTGGATGACACGCTAAGAAATCTGCAATTTTTCCTGTAATGGATTGGGAATAGACAAAAGCTTTGAAGCTAGAGAGTGATATCCTCACTAAAAGAACTGGGGTGGTATTTTTGAGGATTTTTTTGTGGAGGAACAAAATCTTCTGAAACTATTGATTGGCAAAAAAGGATAGAGAGGAGTGTTTATTTCTGCAATAAATTTACTTGCTAATTCTAAACTCTCACTAAATTAAATGTCAGCTCATTCACTTTGTCAAAGTTTCGTTTCCACTACTGCAGATGAATCACTCATTCCTTAAATGGTCTCACCTTCTCCCATCTGAAGCCAGGCAACGTTTCTTTCAGTCAACGTTAACAGTTTGCCTGGTGGGACTAGAAGCTTCCTCACTTTATGCATGGACATTTTCTTTATGAGGCTGTTGTGATATCAGTTTTCAAACCCAATATCTACTGTAGACAGAACATCAACCATAGCAGACGTTCATAAGTGAATGTGGCCATACAGACATGAAAAAGTGACTTCTATCCCTTGATGCCAAACTAGAAAAGGCAAGTTCAGAGAACACATTATGACTCATCAGAGTCCTAAAGAAAAAGTTCCATGTGAATATAGCATCCTGTGCGGCCTCCCAGAGTCTTTTTAACCTCCAGCCATGTTTGCTTTTGTGGGATTTTTCTGCAAAACAAAAGCACCTCATCTTTTTTCTCCTTAACATCAGTTGTTAAATTTTGCTTTATATCAGAGATGAAGCTCATGCTATACGTTCTACAGTCTTCTCTTCATAATGAGTGACTGGCACTGCCTTTTGATTTCTCCTGAGTGTAGGTCTTGTTTTATAACATTCCTACTTGTTCATTAACATGGTAATTACTAATATCGAAGACCTGCTAAATTCTGTCAGATAGTTTTAATATATATCTTTCATCCTTTCATTCAACAAAG